TGCTTTTTCTAGTTACAAGACAATAAATGTCAGTGTTTATGAGGGCTGATAAGATTCTGAATTCTATTCTGCTCTCATTGTTCCTGCTGCGAAATGATTGCCTATTTTAAAACCACCCAAATAGAGACTGATTGCTATTATGAACAAAGACTATTCATAGAAATAACCTTCCTTTTCAGCGTCATGGGTAGCAATGGTGATGAAAAGTCATGTACTATACTATACTGTAAGTCAGTCTGGAAGCACACCCCAGTCACAGGCACTGAATGTTTTACTCCCTTGCTTGTTCATCATTTAACCACTTAACCTATCAGCCATTCAACTCTGTCTCTTTTTCCAGAAGTAGCTATTTGATGTTTCCAGGCAAAACACATCTTCTTTTGCTTGCTATTCATTAGTGTCCATCAAAATATATCTTTTTATATTAAAAAAAAATAAGGATGTGCTGCATAGAATGCCAGAAACAGGCTGTTTTCCTTGGTAATTGACAAATGATATCAATGGGTCTTTCTAGAGGTGAACCTCGTGTCTTTTAAAAGACAAATGATTCATCTGAAAAGATAACAAATTGATTGGTTTTTTGGGGGGAAGATCAGCAGAGAATTTCTTTTTCTCAGATGGAGAATTTAGAAAATGTTGTGAAAGGATATAAAAAAGAAGGAAAGAAAGAAATCTAGTTTAATTCAAGTGAATTCCAGTCAGAAAGGTGGACATATAATACTGGAATATCTTCAAAGAAGATCTCTTCCTTGGCTGACATGTATTTGAGATAAGTGGTATTACTTTGGTGAGGAAATTAGTTTTAGACAGTATTTAGAATCTTGTTGAGGGTTGGATAAAAATGTCAGAGTGATTTTTGTTTTATGAAAAAAATCACATCTTTATAATAATGTAAACTTTCTTTGTAATAATGTAAAACTCACTTCTTTCTGTTTATGTAAAAAGTCAAATTGATAATACATACCAATATTCTTTTATTATTACAGAACAATATTTGAGACAAGGGCAAAAGGAACATTTTATCAACTGGATGCTCAATTTTATAACAGCTAACATTAGACTTTGTTTTTTGGCAAGCTGAAGATCTTTGCTCTGTATGCTCAAGAGTACGGAGGCTCTAAATTAACAAGTTTTGAGTAAGCCTGGGTTCAATAAGGCAAGAACAGGGTGAAATGGTAAGAAGACACTGTACTTTAGCCACAGAAAAAACAGAATCTATACGGTTTTAATTCCTTTATGTGCATAATGGAGATGGTGTGATAATTAACTTTATGGGTCAACTTGATTGGGCCACAGGGTGCAAACATTATACTAGATGTGAAAGCATTTTGGATAGGATGAACATTTAAATCAGTAGCATGAGTAAAGCAGGGTGTCTTTCTTAATGTGCATCTCATTCAGTCGGTTGGAGACCTGTATTGAACAAGGAGGCTGATCTCTGGAGAGTAAGAGGAGAGTCCTTCTGCTCTTTTTAAGCTTKGATACTTGCTTTTTCTTGTCTTCAGACAGAAAACTGAACCACTGATTCGTTTTGAGTCTTGGGTCTGCCARCTTCTGGACTGGAACTTATATCTTTGGCTCCTTTGGTTCTCAGACTGGAGTTGGAAAAACACTATTGGTTCTCTTGAGTCTACAGCTTGGTGATTATAGATTTTAGGAATTTTCAGCCTCCATAATGTCCTTAGCCATTTCTTAATGATAAGAATTTGTATATGTGTATATCCTATCAGTTCTGCTTCTCAGGAGAACCTTGACTGATATAAATGGTAACCTTTATGCTTATATTCCTCATGGTCTCTACCCCTGTACATTTTCTGAGCATAACAGAAACTATAGATGTAATCAACAATATCACACTGCAGTTTTCACACAGAGACAACAAAATTCCCAATCTGCATTCTCCCCACTACTTGTTGATCAGCCCAGACACATTAATCCCTATTCAGCCCAGGGCTTAGGCCACAGGATAAGGTAAATGCACTTAGAATAAGAAACCTACTTTTAAATTTTGTTTATTAATAACCTAACTTTTTCCAAATTTAAAATAATTGAGGTGAGGACTAGTCAGTCACATATCTATATTTAGTGCCTACAATCAATCAAATCCTTAATGCTTTTTCTAGGAGAAAAAGCTTTTTAAAACTTAACCTTGCTTAAAGTTGAAGATGCTGATTTTTAATAACTAAATGTACCAAAATGAGTTTTACTCATTGAGGGCACTATGAAATGGTATTTTCAATACACAATTATTTTATCATTGATCTTATGTAATCATATATAAAATTATGCTGTTTAGGATTCTAGGTGTGGTAGCATTGTTGCCCATGTGGTTAAAACAGAAAAATTTGATAAGTCTTACGTGGTCCTGGAAGATTAAGATTTCCATTAACTTTAGTCAAAGGTGACACTAGAACTAGCTCGTTTTAAGCTGTTCTTTCAATGCTTGTGGTTTTCATTGGTCCTCAGAAAAGATGCAGAAAGTCTTCCTGTAGCAAAGCAAGAGATTTCAGCTAACTTGGGCCTACTTAGCTCATCAATAATTCTCTAGCAGCACCACTATCTATGTTGCAGAAAGTGTTGTCAGGAAAATATCAAAAAAATGATCTGGATGCAAACAATTTTGCCAGCTCAGGAAAATGATAGTGATGCAAAGCCAAGAAGAGAATAAGGAATTAAGACTGACTTGACTTATTTATTTACTTATTTTTGTGGTGTTGGGGTTGGATCCAAGGGCCTCACACATGCCAGGCAAATGCTCTACCACTAAGCTACATCCCTATCCCAAACAGAGACTTTAGAGCCTAAGGTTGTTTCCTCATTCTCTTTATAATGTGCCACCTGCCACCCTTGCTCTTTCCAAGGATTCCAAGCTGGAATGGAAAGGCTTGGGTGCCACTCATGTTTTGCTATCTCCTCTTGTAGACACTATACAATTCTGAAAATTTAGAAGTTCCAGAGAGATAAATCCAGTAGGTTGAGATTCACCCATTAGTTCATTTGATCAGTAGTTTTTTTAAGTTTATCATGTACCAGGTACAGAGCTAGGCAATGGGGATACCAGTCATCAATAATACAGATACCATGGCCCCTGTCATAAAGAAGCACACAACCAAGAGGTGAGACCTATGGACTTTAATCAGAGAATCATATGAATTGCAACAGGAATATACACCATGCAAAAGCTCTTATTACAGGGGCATATGACCTACTTACAAAGAGCATGAAAGGCCTTTCAAAGGAGGGAATGGTCAAAATGCAATCTGAAGAGTTGATGTCAGCAGGAAATGTGATGAGTATAAGAGACTGAAATATATGCAGGAGAGGTGTGGCTACAAAAGGAAAGTGGGTAGTAAGGAGATGTGTTGGGAGATGGCAAAGGAAAAACAGGGAGGAGATAGACCAGGCAGATTCTCAGAGGACATATTAAGGAGTTTCATAGTATTGAACTGTACTGTTTGACCTACTTTCTGGGCAATTGAAAACTTTCAATATTTTTTACATTTTCAGAAAAGCAAAAGTACTCTAGTAGGAATAAATATGGGTTAAGAGGAATATATCTCCCAAAATATTAGTTATGGATTCAACTTCAGTTCCTTCAAAGCCTATTACTACTACTTATTGCAAAAACTTATATGTATTAAAATAAATGCTAGAAAGAGAGATTAATTCAGAAGGTTAAGCTATTGGTTAAAGGGGAGTATATTGGCAAGAGAGAGGAAAAAGTTCCACTCAGGAATTCTAGTCTTCTGCAGTCTAATCTTATCTGAGCTAACCCTATTACTATAGGCAAACTAATTAACCTCTCTGTGCCTTGGTTGCTTATCTGTGGAGGGAAGATAATGATGACCTACTAATAGGAGTGCAAAGCATTCTGCAAGCACCAATAATTATATAAATAACATAAATAATTACTTATCCTGTTGTAAGATTCTAGTCCTCACCTCAGAGTTTAAACATCTTCTCTTTGCCTAAATGATACATCAGGTTTTATTTTTTGTCAGATAGCACGATAGCATTGTGTATGTATGTGTTAAGAGAGAGCTTGTGTTTATTTTCATATATAGCCAAATTTGTGTTCATTGAAAATGCGCTCTCTCTTACTGATGCCTATTGTTCAATCAGCAATACCCTGGATCCTAGGTAATCACATTAATTCGTACTGACAGCAGATGGTTTAAAAGAGTAAAGAGCTGCCGAGAGAGAAGGAGGGGTAAAGTGGGGTGGAGTGGAAGAATAGTTACTTTTACCTGTTTTTTGAAAGGCTAACTCCTCTTGCCTGCTAAAGATGAAGAATATTTCCTTATTATTTCATAAGTCCATTGTAATTATATCAAATATAATGAAGCAATTCAAATTGGATAAGCAGGCCCATAACGTCTTACCAAGAAGATGAAAGGACTCCTACTTGGATTTTATTGTGGATTCACATTTAAATTGGCACCTCTTTTGTGATAGTCCCAATAATTTTATGGGAAGTATTTATAAAACTTTGTTCTTTCAGTAGCATAAAAAATTGCCCACTTCTGTAGCAACCTTTGGTTTTTATGCCACACTTTCTTTGGTTGATGGGAAGAAATCATAATCTTCTGGAACAATAAAATATTTACAGAATTGAAATAGCCATTTCTTTGTGAACTTGGGGAAAATTTTCTTTAATTATTTCCTTTTAAAATGTATGCCTAATACATATGTGGGCTGTTTCTATGATGATACAGTGACTCACACGTGTTACTGCAATGTTTCTGTGGGGGTGATTTGGCCTACAGCCGTGCGCCTGTGTGGAGCTCTTGGTTAGTGGCCATGCCTGGCTGTTAAGGCGAAATGAACTGGACCTGAACCTACCTTTTAGTTCTTGCCCATTGCTTTGCCTTATGTGACTGTTGTGGTTTTCTTGCTCTTTTGTTCAACTAAAGAGGAATTAGGTGTTAGAATTATTTTTGTGTGTGTGCAGGACCCAGTACTATCTCCAACATGCATCATATGTTTTATTAAATTCTCACCTGATTGCTTCTTCATTCTCAGTCCCCATTTCCTTCTGCTCTGATTTTGTTCTGGATGGTTCCATTGAACTTTGAGGGTCAGGCTTTGTGGTCAAATCTCTGGAGGAATTTTTCTCCGAGTCTTTATCTATGGCAAAGAAGTAGTATATAGATAGGAGAATGCACACCACTCTTGTCACAGTTATATTTGACAACACAAACTATGGAGATTCTGTTTGTCTTCTGGAATAGTCTTCAAGGAAGGCCTCCCCAAGGATTCCTGCTAAGCCAGGACCTTGTGCAGAAGGAGTTAACCTGTAGACCTTCAGACCAATAAAAAATACACTTAAAATTGGTATGTCATGTAATAGAAATTTTACATGGTATGTATTTCTTTTTTTTTTTTTTTTTTT